GACTGCTGGCAAAATGATCACTGTGTAGGATTGATGTGGGATCTGCACCTTGGTTGGTAAGAGTCCAATCGTATATTTAAAGCAGCCTGGGATGATTTGGGGAAGAAAAGCACTGTAAAAACTCAAGGAAAACTAGTAGCAATGGTGGAGGTAGCTGTACAAATACTGGCAGTTCCACACATGTAGCTTTTTTCAGATAGTTGCTAGTATCCAATTACTTTAAGGACTTCATACTATAGTTTCTTAAAAAAGGGCAGAGTAACAGCTTTGATAACATGGCTGTTTGTTCCAGACCCCCACAACCCTTTATGTAAAAGGTGTCTCCTGTTCTCAGTTTTAAATGCACTTCCACATAGTTTCTAGTCTGGTTTGTGTTTGGCTGTTGTAGAAGTCCATTTCGTTAACCTTATTAGTGCCTATGAAAATTCTGAATACAGTTCTTGAATCAGGTGCTCTTTTAGTCTTTGTAAGAGACTAAAAGAATATTGTTCTTTTATGGTGTCAGTGCATTGCAAGTCATTCCTCTGAGCCTGGAGATGTACCTGCTTGCTCTTCTCTGGGCTGATTCTAGAGCAGCAATGTCTTTTTTGTATTGTTGTGACCAAAACTGACTATAATAATCTAAAGGAGGTCTCATTAGAGAATTATAATGTAGTATCCTTTAACTCTATGCTTTGAATATAAATTAGACTGTAGTTCTCATGCACATTCGTTTTAGTCTCCTCTGATTAATTTCATACTTTTTTTTTCTTTCAATTGCGTACTCCCAATGATTCCAAACTAAACACTCTCTTAATTTGTCACTTTTGTTTCCAGACGGTTTTTGATATGCATTTTAGCAACTGTAGTAGTTTGAGAGGTAAAACAACACATTTTGGCCATGGACTAAAATAATCACATGGATCCCTGAGCTACAGTATGTGACTATGCTACATAATTAAACAAGCTTCCCATTGATGATAATTACTGGTAGTTAAGATAATCCTGCAGAACTACTGTGTGTAGCATGAGCATCTGAACAGGAAAATCAAATAATATTGGCAACCTTCATGAAATTATGATACAATTTAAAATACTAAACCTTTCATTTTTAAACCATTCAAAAATAAACACTAATTGTTTAAATGTGACTTGATCATGCTTTCAGTTATATATTTGTTGTTTCTTTATTTTATTTTTCATTGATTATGGTCTTGTAACCATTTTGACAAAACATCTATACGCAATTCCACTTTCACAATTGCTTTTGATGAAAAATATTAAATCACAAGCTGACAGGCTGCTATTTTTAGGGCCAGCCTGCATTTCGTTAAGTAATGACGACTAGAACCTCAAGCTTATTTAAAACGCTCCACTTAAAATTAATCTCAATAGATTTTAATAACATAGATCATTCATGTGTGCCAGGTTCATTCTGACTTGTACTTACATGGCTATTATGGCATAAGCATGCATAAATACAAGAATGTGCTTGAGCAATATTTGGAGATTAAAAGCATTATACATTACACTTCAGGCAGTTTATGGATAATATAAAAAATCATTTGGAACTTTACTGATGTTTTTATTAATTAATTTATTGCCTAAAGTGTAATGTATCATGTGAGCTTAGTGTAGCTGATTGCTTTTTTTGTAAATGCAATGTCTACAATGAAAATACCATAAGGCAAATTTTGTTTTCAGGAGCAACAATGTAGAGTAACCATGAAATTAAGCAGCAAGGAAATGGCGAAAATAAGTTTTAGAGTACAGAGAAGAGGGGACAACATACAAGGAGACTGACAGAAAAATGGGTAGACTGACAGCTTTCATACCATGTACCAAGTGAAGCATAACACCCATAACATTGTAGTTCATTTCTACAGAGCTTATTTTTTTCCATCCTTTTTTTTTTGCAAAGGATAGATGGCGGTTTAGAGTTTTTGTACACAGTCTCAAATATTTTCAAGAATTTAGTGCTGCAGAAAGGTCTGTCCTCTGTAATGCACCTCAGTTATATTAGCAGATGTTTATAGATCACCTTCAGTTTTTGTTAGTAGTTATTTTTACAAAAGGAAAATTGGAGAATAAAAGAGTAATTAAGGTCAAAGGATCTTATTATGGGGATCAGTACAGAAAACATCAGTGCATTGTAGCAAGCCATCAGCAGCTGCTCAAGCAGAGCAGAACACAGTTTTAAAGATCTGGCATCACAGCAAGACCTTGTGTTGCTGTAATGTCTGCAGTTCAATTAGCGTTGTATTTAGACTTGACTAGCACAGGTCAGATTCTGCTTCTGGTCACCGATTGCAGCAGTGCTGCTGACAACCTGATGGCTGGTATTAATTTCTTAATTTGCAATTTGTATTGCTACATATTGTTTTATTTTATTGTGTCTGTAATGTTTTGCTGTCCAAACTGGAGTCTGTTACAGTTTGCTTAAAAACTGTGTCTCCCTCATAGTGACTCAACTTTTGAAGGCACCTTTTGAACTGACAGCCGGTCCTATGGTCGCAGGTTTTAGCCTGGGTTGTATCAGTAGCCGGTTGTGACTGGGATTCCCCAAGTGGTAGTGCAGAATTGGCTGAGCACTACTACAGTTATGGTGGAATTAGCCTCAACTCTTTTTGCTCTCAGTGACACAGTGGCCCCTTGTGGCCACCTGGGGGTTTGCAGGCATGTGGTACAGTACCTGCGAGGTACTGTATGTGCCTCAACTCCATTGGGCACTGATTCTCTGGTACAGGGCTGTAGCGCCTGTGATGTGTTCAAAGATGAGTGGCTCAAGGGTGGACAGGACAGAGGAGTCTGCCTACACTTCCTACGCTGCAGGGGTTGAAGCTGCAGCAATAATACTCAATGTGCTATTCCAAGTTGTAAGGCTATAACAAAAAAAAATGGTGATGGAATTGTTCTTTAAAATAACTGGTGATGGTTTCAGTGTCTTTAGTTCTGTGAACAATAGAATTGCATCATTCCTAATTTGAGAAAATGTTCCAAATAAAACTGGGATTGCCAAAAATGGGTTTTAATACAGATCCTGTATTTAACTTGTCTGCATGTTAACAGGAATCCAAAGGGGAAGGCTGTTCACCAAAATACAAAAAATGCGTTCAACAGTACTGGATACCAATTACTTAACCTCATTTCAAATAATGTTCAGTATTTCAACCCTTCCACGAAACAAACAAAAATGCTCTGAATTGTTCAACTGATCAGCCAGCTAAAACTTCAACGGGGCAATTTTCAGAACTGTTAGCTCCACAACAGATGTCTCACCTGACCTTCAGCATGCAGTTTCAAACCCTAAAAGGCGCAAGTCAAGCAATACAACAACATTTATCTATTTGTTTTCTAACCGCTTCATCCAAATTAGGTTACAGGGGAGATGGAGCCTTTCCTGGCAAGCAGTGGACTCAAGGCAGGATACAGCCTGGACAGGATGCCATTCTATCACCCAACAATATACAGTAGATATCTAAACTGAATATACCAACTGTATTTATCTTATTTCAATACATTTGTGGACTTTTATCTTCAGCATTAACTTAGAGAGCATCAAATGCAGAACAAACATTAATGATTTGGATGCGTCACTTGAGAATATGGTGGCACCAAGGAGCAAAAAGAGAAAAATTGCTCTGTAGAAACTTACATTATGGTTAAGAACATGTTTCCATGAGACATACCTGGAGTATTCTTTATGCTCTTGCTCTGTGTCTTTTGGTCCAGCAAAGTACTTTTCAGTGCCAGTTCTCCACCATTAGCAAACAAGCCAGGTTAATCTTTGGCTGGAAGAAAACAAACCGTCTCACTAAACATTTCACATGCAATGGTAATGCTGGTTTAAATCCTTTGACATTTAAGTTTTGGCTTGTAAGGGAGTCACTTTGTGTAGAGATAATCTTTGTTTTGTAATTTTCATTAATTTTTTACATGAAATTCCCATGATGTTGGAATTACTGTTAGGGATTTAATCTCCATCTGCATGATGCAACTCTAATAAAATGCTTTTTTGGGGGGCAAATTCTCTTTTTCCTATCTGCAAAGACGTAAGGGGCCACGGGTATTGCTAATCCTCTACAGCTATGTACTTATAAACAGGTCACAGCTCATGCTAACCACACCTTTACGTGCTTGGTTAGTTCCAGACTTCAGTTTGAAATATCCCAAGGCTCGATATATACTGTATGGCACTGATTTCTTTTTCAAGCTGTCACATGAGTATCACATGCTAAAAGAGAACAGCCAATACTACAACAAATATGTTGTTTTTGGGAGCTGTTAATTCCAACAGATCTGTACTAAATGCTAGTGTGGGAATTGTGTGGCTACTCATACAATTAAGTTGTTAACTGAAGATTTTGTACTGTGCAACAGCCCCTCTGCAAATGTTGGGTTGTTTTATGATGCCATCAGCACTGAATCTAAAAAAATAAATACATGTTAATTATGCTATTTCAAATTGAAAGAAGGTTAATAATCATCATTAATTTTACTGTTTTACCCTCAAGTACATCAAAAAGTGGTTGCTTGCATTGTAGAGGAAAGCATTGTGGTTTGGGAATAGTCCTACAAAATCATATTGCATGCCGTAATGCTTCATGACAGTGGTGATTATTATAGTTATTGTATTAGAATGTGATAATGATCAGATAGGTTAAAAATCACAAACGCAGAAAGCCACAGATGTTTTTGCAGCACTTGAAGAATTTACCATACAGAACATGTGTTAATTTCTTTGAAGAGCGGAGAGTTTTCACTTGAGAATATACCTTCTAATTTAGAATACGTTCGGCTTAAAGGTTATTTAATACATTGCTCTAACGTTCGGTTCAACTGGTAGATAAAATAATTAAGAGCAGCCTTTGAAAGTCTTAACAGCAATCTTTTTTAACGCTGGCGTGCCTATTCCCTGTTGACTGTTGTGCAGGCTGCCTGTGGGTTTCTACGAGGATTCCTCGCTCAAGTCCCGTGGGCGGAGACTCATAAGAGTAGATCTGAAACAGTAGCTGCGGCACTGCTGCTCAGACCAGAGTTAATCAGATGTTGTTGCTCCGTGACTGAACTAAGTTATGAGCTGGACATACCTGCTGCGAGCGTGGAATACTCGCTGAAATGCTGAAAATGAAATCGGCACCCTTCAAGGCCTGCACACTTATCTGGGTGGACCCAGTTAAACAATAAAACAACTTTTCTGTTGCCTATGCAGTGCTCGGAATTAACAAGCCGCACGACACTTCTTTAAGCAATGGACGGGAAAGTTTGCGTTAGGTTCGCTACTGGTAAAAGCAATGAAAGCAAGACCTCTTCGGACTCGGATACCCTTTCGGAAGGCGAAATGAAGCATGTTTGTCCTGATGCTACACATGATAAGGATGTTAACAGTAGCTGTAGCGACTCTTGTTCAGACACTGAATCGCAAGCCAGAACCGGGAAGGAAAGCGAAAAAAGAGAAATGAGGAAGAGCTTGGGAAACGGGGGTTCTGGAAATAAGGAAGATCCCATCGAAGAAGAAGAAGACGAAATGGTAATTTATATTCAATTAGCATATTTTATAACTGCGAACAAACTAGTGCAAAAGAAGTGCTTTGCTATTTTCTAGCATCGTCTCGCGTGTGTGGGGTGGGGCTTGGGCAGGTGAGCTGTGATTTCTAAAGCAATGCAAATACTGTAGTGAAAGAAGTAAATAACACTGAGAACAAACGGAATCAAACAAATATCTGTTTCAAAGTCCGTGAAATGTCTTGCATTGTTTACGGAATAGCGCTTTCATTATTAGATAGGGTATTTACAACTGATCACCAGGTGGTGTATGGAGTGGTGTAGGTGTTCTTGTCGCATACAAAACGCTTTTCTCCACCGTTTAACTTCCTAAGGGGTTCTAGGCTGCGTGCTATCTGCAAGTGAAAATTTTAAATTTTTGTCCCTTTTCATATACCTGATATTTAATGACAATAGCGAGCCCCTAATTTAGGTAGATGAGCGAAACACCACTCCTACTCCTACTTTGAGAAGCCACCTTTAAAGGCGCTATATAAAATAAAGTTTATTATTATTACTAGGGAACACAAGATAAGTGGTGTTTTTGTGTTTGTGGTTTATTGGATATTGAGTAACTTAAGGCTCAGTCATTGCCAGCTCCGTAGTCTTATCACTAAGGTCACTAAGCAAGTGTTAGAGAGTTGCTATCGCCTATACCCACACTAAAACATGATGACTATACTGTAAATCATGGCAGTATGTGCAAGATTACAACAAAGCAGATTTTGCAACGGTTAATTGTGCTTTCCTTATTTTATGGAAACTTGCAAGTCCGTTTTGGCTCTATGAATTCGAAGAACTTAAGTAATATTATAGAAACCTGGGGTGTTAGCGTAGCGCCTCGAAAAGGTGTATTGCTGTTAGGATTAACGAATGGTTTAAAGTTACAAAATTCAGTATTTCTTAATTGATTACAAAAATTGTAAGTTTGTGTGTATGTTTTAAAACAACATTGCTGAATGTGGGTAGTCATCAACAATGAATGTCACTGTACAAATTCCAGCTGTCTAGTATTATTAGTACAGAATTGATCGATGTCTTAGGTATACCTTTTAAGCAGCATTAAAGTTTACTTTAATTCAGCATTTAAAGATAATTCTAGCAGATTTGACATTTTTTTTTATCTTTTATTGGTGAGAACTGAACTACTGTCACCTTGTTGTTGTGGTTGATTTGTTCAATTGGTAGAGCACCTTGGTTTAGTAAAATTTCTGTTGAAGACCCTCTTCAGTTTAGTGATGTATAAGTAGTGATCCATACCCTGAATATGTTCACCTGTCATAACAGATGAATTTCTGTCCTTTGGGATATTAACCACAAAAGTCAGCATTGTTATTGTATAGTAGATATTTAAAGAGCAAGTGGTGTACTGGGTCTGTCTTTTCCCTTGTGTTCTTATCATGCAAGTCTCTATAGACAGATTGCTGTGATACGCTTAATCCCAGAATATTTTGCCAGTGATTATGGATTTTCATCATGAGGGGGGAAAAAATACTTTTGTCCTTTACTAAATCCAGTTCACCAAGATTCTTTGTATGGTTTCTCCAGTGTGCTCAGCTGTGGAATAAGTTATGTTTAGTGGGGCCTCTTTGCCACACTAAACAAAGATCTTCTTTTTTCTTTTGTCCATCTTATGTTTTCCAATTTCAAAAGAAAATTGTAACAACCAAAAAATAGGAATCTAATCTAAGATCTGATAATGACAGGTACTGTATGTCCCCATGTTGTTGTATGCAGTAAATTAAGTAGATGCATCAATACACACTTGAGATGATATTGTACATGAACTGGCACAAGCATGTTTTCAGGTTTGCGCTATTTCATACAGTATAGAAGGTCTACTCAAACATAGAGAATTGTAATTTACCATAAAACACAAACAATGAAAACAGTTCTTATTCTTTGCTTTACTACATCTGATAAATTGCTTTTGAATATTAAAACCCATTTAAATGAAAAGCTGGGTTTCTTTTTCATTCAAAAGTTTGAGTTCTTTAAAAAAAGTGTAGATGTAATTGGCAGAAAACATTTATACATTACAAAATGTATATTTTATAAACTTATGTTTCATTAGGCTTCTTAGGGTTTTTTTTAGGAGATCTTTAGTACCATTAGAATTTGCTCTAGAGATAAGCTTTGGTTCTCCAATTAGTATTTTGTACATTATGTGGAATATCCTCTGAATTTCAAAATTGTTTTTTGGAAATACTTAAAAAAAGGTATGATGTTGGCTTTAAAATGCAACTATAAATGTTTTGTTTTTTCTCTTCACATTTTGGATTGCATGACTTCAGCTTTATCCTCTACTGCCACCCTTGAGAGTGGGAAGGTAGAAGCTAATGAGGTCTAGTCACAACCTCTTCTGACCCTGTACTGTATTGTATATCATTGTACTGTGAGTGGTACAGATATTAAGCCTCTTGAATATGCATTACATTCTATAGGTTCTCTTCCTGATCCTGCCAGGTGGCTCTTAAGTGAAACATTTTCTTAAAAGAGCAAATCGGAACTTCGTTCTGTTATTTCTAAGCCAAGAGTAGTAGCTCACTACAGTTGAATTTTTTACCAGAGATTTGAATCATTGACATTTGCACTTAAGAGAATACTATTGAGAGCTGTCAAAGGGGCCACGCGTTATCCTCTAGGTCCCGTACAGTTGCAGGTTTAATCTTTAAGTCTGATTATAAAATTTGAGATTAAGATTAGAGGGAAAAGAAGTGATGATCAAAGTGTTGCAAAAAATAACAAGAACATGTTTCCGATACATGGCACTACTACCTCAGTATATACTGTACAAATATGAAGTTATGGTCAACTTTTACTGTACAGCCTATTCAAGGTGAGCCATTGACTGACTCTTTGAACATAAGAACTGTTACAATCAGGCCATAGCTACTTTAGAACTAGCTTGTTTAGTTGCTAATACAGTAGCTAAAGGATCAAGTATCCACTTTGTGAGCGTGGCAGGATGTTGGAAATATATCAAATAAAGAAAGAAATCTTCCACAGTTCTGCCTGTACATTTCCCTGATTTTATCACATTAGTCTGTATTATAAATTATATCTTTTGTTGTTGGATGTAACTGTACTGACTACAGGAGTGCTTGTAACATTTATTGCAAATGACTTGCTCGCTTGCTTTGCTGACCTAAATTACTATATCTTTATTTCCTTTCGTTATTCTTGTTACCAGATACACTGACATCAGTTCAGATTGCATACAGCACAGATGGTGGTAACAAAAGAAGGTTCCAAGTATTACTTCAATGAATGAATCAATGGAAAAAAAAACCCTTGACATAGCTAAAGCTCAAGCTTATATTTTTTTATAGATTTTCACTCAAGCCCGTAAAGGTCAAGGTATTGTATACAATATTATAGTTTAGATGGAGTCCAAAGCAGTGATTGTTTTGGTCTGATAAGAAAACATTTTTTTTAAGTGCACATTGTTCTTTTCGTGTCTTATTACCTGTACTTTGGAACATGTGGTGTGAGATTAAGAGCTGTAAATAATTAAATTGATAGCTGAAAACATGAATTTGGGTGATTGTTAATACAGTGCTTTCTGAACACCATAAATCATTCCTTTCTCAAATGTGGGCTTGACTGTTTAATCTGACCTTTAGTGCCCTTTAATTCTACCTCAAACACAGGTTGATCAGTATTGCATTTTGACAAATCATTAAGCCACCAAGCAGCCTGTTACCCAGGAAGCATGATGCAATGTGATGGGACTGATAGCTTTCTATACTCCTTCTAGCTCAAGGGTGGTTTCTGTATGAATTAAATATCTACGATATATGGCTTTACCCATACTGTACTATGAATGTAGTTCTTCATGTGTTTTCTGGTGATGCAGCTCAAATGTGTAATTTAATAAAGCACAAAAAAACAAAACAATGGACAAACAACCATTAAATTACACTGAACCAAGTAAAATAGGCTGGTTATCACTGGTTTTCCTCGAATAAACTGAATTCCACTAGTTGGTTGAATACAGAAGCCAGAGATATGTTTGGGTACAGAGCACTAAATGTGTTGAATAAGAGTATAGGGTTATATAGAAGTTATGGAACAAGTAAAGGTTTATTCCATGCTGTGGAGCCTCACACCTAAAGAGCCGAATAGCCGAAATGTTGTGTTTTCTTTCTTCGATTTTCAGCATGGAATAAACAACGTTTCGGCTGTGGAGCCTCACACCTAAAGAAGGCTCCACAGCCGAAATGTTGCGTTTTCTTTCTTCGATTTTCAGCATGGAATAAACCTTTACTTGTTCCTTTGCAGCCTAAGCATGCTGACGCAGCTACCTACTTGAACTACTAGGGGAAGTTATGCCCAACTGCTACAAAGCACTAGAAAGATCTCTTTTAGAATTTTCTTTTCAGTTTTGGTTACCAAATCACAACAAATATAGCCTTAAAAAGAGTTCCAAGAAGAGCAAAGATATATATTCCTGGTCTCTAGCTTTGTTATATACAGACAGATATATAACTGTCTGTTATAGACAGTTATATACTAATGATATCAGTATACAGTATTTGTCTTTGGAAAACAAAGAAGATTAAGTGATTTGATTAAATTGCAGTACTTAAAATTCTAAGGCCTGTTGTGAAGGTTAACTGGGGCACTATTGCAGACTCTGTGGCAGAACTGGACACAGGTCATTTCATTTTCATTTAGCTACTGATGGGCCTCTGGTTTTGCATTCTTTGTTGTGTGCAGATGGTCTTATTAGTAAAGTTAAGCCACCATTTCACCTTTGGGTTTAAAGGACACAGTTTTCCTTATCCTTTCTGCTGTGACCTGATGAATATCTGCCCCCTCATATTGTTCTTTTCTAAAAAAATTAAATAGTCTTTCTTAGGGGCCTTTGTGGAATTTCATTTTGAGAGACGTGGTTTGTGCATGTCATTTTCTTTCCTATATCCTTGTCTAATTTACTGTGAGATATAGTTGGGCTAGGTCAAGATTTGCAATTGGAAGTAG